GTATTTTTTTTTTTTTTTACAAAACAGTGCCCAATGCAAATCTACAGAGCATATTATAAATTTACTAATTTAAAAATATGATTCCATCACTACACAGAAATTACCATGTTTCCAAAACACACACTAAAAACTTCAAATTCAGTTATAGAAGTAAATTAAATTAAAGTCCCTAGTTCTGTTTCATTTTCAAATGAAACAGGACTATGGACTTTAATTTAATTCTATAATTGAATTTGAAGTTTTAATTCTTATAATTTAAATATCTATCTATCTATCTATCTCTCTCTCTCTCTCTCTCTATATATATATATATATATATATATATATATATATATATATATATATATATATATATCAGAAAATGTTATATCTATAGAAGATTGGTCGAGGTTCCTTGTGCTATCCTTTAAAATGACATGAGACAATCAGGGCTAATATTGTAGTACTGCTGTCATATTTTGGCAGGACCTGTCCCAGTCCTCGCTTTCCTGTCTATAGAGTCCAAAAGCGTCTCCGCCGACTTGTGGGTTAGAAATTTTTCCACCATGCTACCCCTCTCCCACAAGCGGGATTTAACAAGCCTTTCACTATTCTATCCCTACTTCTAGTCACTCATATTGTAGCAAGCCGCTCTAATTCCATCCGTATTCCAGTGGTCAGAAGTATTTTGTGGAACAGACTCCCAAGAGGATGTTTCCTCGATCACTACAATCTTAAGCCGTTCAAGTCTAGGGTTAACCGTTATCTTAAACACTTAAACAGTGCCTCTTACTCTGAAACCTTCTACATCGGACCTTCTACAGGGTAAACGTCAGTGTAAAAAAAAATAAAAAAATACTGCTTCGTATCAGAGAGAGAATTCTTAAAATTAGAAACAGTGTGAACATTGCAATCATCGCCGCATGGCGATTGTCAGTTCAACACCTCAATGCGGCGGTCTTCATGTAAATTTAGCATTGGGACGTGAAACATATCCAAGATTCGGCATTCATTATAACGTAAACAATTTTTGCTTGTCTCTATCTCTCTATTTTCTCTTTCCTTTATTTCTTTCTCTCTCCCTCCCCCTTTATCTCTCTCTCTCTCTCTCTCTCTCTCTCTATATATATATATATATATATATATATATATATATATAATATATACACCCATAATTTAAGTTGAGCACTCTGGGGACGAGGTGTGTGTTGGTAAACAGTGACTATTATAGCTTTATAGCGAGACTCTTCGCGAAAGCGAATTGAGTCACTGTCGGTCACTGGGCGTGTTTCTAAAAATAAATACGCTAAAATCCACCGTCATCCCTTGGTTAGAAGCTCCGACTGAAACCAATTGAGTCGGGTTTCGATCCTAGCTAGAGGCAACCGGATGTCTAACCACACTGATGAGAAACAGTCTGTCTGTGGATGACGTTATATATATATATATATATATATATATATATATATATATATATATATATATATATATACACACATAAATATACATATATATACCAGGTGTAACAGCAAAATTGTCCAAATCGTGTAACAATATGGGATTATTTTTCTTCTCACAAATTTTTAATATAAAAAAATCTAAACTATTTGAGTTACTTTTGTTCCAGGTTTTCAGGTAAAACGTTTAGCCATCTTGACAGCGTTTGTCGTAAGAATCACTGAAAAACCGTTTGAATTATTCAGCTAGAAAGAGAACAGGTTAAAATCGTTTTGTGTCAACCCCACTATATCTGAGCAATGGTGAGAGGGAAAAGATCATTTAGGCCTTCAGTAATGGTACCATCATACTGGTTTCATACTGGTTTCCGTCTTTAAAGTCCATTCAAGAACCATCAAGAGAACGGTGTATACGTTTTAAATAAAGGGAACAGTAGAAAGGAATTTGGATTATGTGGTCACAACAGAAAGAGGGATAACCATTTCAACTTAGTAGAGTCCAATAAAGTTACAAAAGCCAAAGAGAATTCCAGTAAGATATTTTTAATCATTTCTAAGATACAACGTTTCAAATCTTAATCTGAGAATTGGACAATTTTGCTGTTACACACGCCACATGACGATGACATGTATTTTTATGCATCAAGAATAATATTAGGGGAAAATGTATGGCAGAGTGGAAGATGTTTTGTAGGGCAGGGTTAGGGTTAGGGTTAGGGTTAACCCCTAACCCTAACCCCTAACCCTAACCCTAATCCTAACGCGTATCGTTCTTTAGGACTTCATCGGAATGCTATGTCGGTAGCATTGCACATGCGCAAGAATTGGGATGCTGGGATTTTTTTTTTTTTATCAAGCCGATTTCATTTAGATTCTGTTTCTTTTTCTTTCCATCACTTTTTTGTTTTAGTAGATATCCGACACTGTGATAATATAAGTTCTTATATATATATATATATATATATATATATATATATATATATATATATATATATATATATTTATCCAAGTATAGGATTGGTGTATATGGAATAAATCCCAATAACCAACAATTACTATTCTTAAAAGAGTGCTCAATGCAGAGTAGAGCTAATATAATTATTCATTTAGAAATTATAACATAAATATGTTATAAAATCACTACAAAAATAACCATTTTGTTTCAATACCTCTGGGGCCTTATCAAGTGATGACGTTGAATGTACTTTTTAAAAACCTTTATTCTACATTCAACATCATCACTTGGTTAAGACGGCAGAGATGTTGAAACAAAATGGCTATTTTGTAGTGATTTTACAACATATTTATGTTATAATTTCTAAATAAATAATTATATATATATATATATATACATATATATATATATATATATATATATAGAGAGAGAGAGAGAGAGAGGGGGGGAGTACTGGATAACGGCTTGGATTGAGGAATCGGGAATCGAGTTCGAATTCCACTCGAATCCATTACACTCACTGGCGTGCTAATACCCTTGGGAATGGTATGGATCTTCTTCTCCCATTTTAGCAGATTGACTGGGTTCCATAGCCTTGGATCCTAACTGGTCTAGGAGAAGGAAAACTCTGAATTCAAAACCTGCGGAGGTTCGTTTGGGGGATATTGTGGCACGTAGTGCACCAGGTCCCTGTATTCGGCCCTTCAAAATGTATAGGTGCTTCTGCACAAAACCTTCACCACTATAATCAAATCACATGTGCTGGTGTCTGGGCTATCGGTTCCTAGGAATTGAGCTGCTTGACCCTTATACGTCGAATACAACGGGATAATCGTGCAGGTTGCGTCGGATAAATTGCCGTCTAAATTACGCCAAATAACACAGACATGTCATTTTAGCAGTTATATTTAGCAATATTACAAAAAGAAAATATCTTGAAATACTAAAGAGTAAATGTGTTCAATAAAATCGTTATTGGCTTCAACCGTGGCCTCAAGAAAACTTCGGAATCTTTGGACGATCTCTTTGTTTAAATTACACAAAAATATCTTGAAATATAAAGAGTAAATGTATTCAATAAAATCGCCATTAGCTATAAAGAGGGCCTCCAGAGGACTTCGAAATCTCTTGCATTTCTTCTGAACGTTCTCATTGTTTAATTTTTTGAATGCTGTCATAATCCTTGTCTTCAGTTCCCCTTTGCTTGTTATTATGAGTTTTGTTGGTTCTTTGCTCAACTGTGTCCCGCACATATAATAATCAAATGGGTTTCATTCTGAGGAGTTAGGTGCTCAGATGCAAGGGGTGATGTGGTCGCAAAAATCGAGTTCTCATGCTCTTGTGGCATGCTGCCGAGTCCTGATGGCAGACAGAGGACCTTCCACCAGCCACCCTCTTAACCCAGAGCAGCACTACCGCCTCAAGGCACTTGATGTAGGCCTCCGTATTGATTCTAAGGCCTTGTGGGAAGATGAATTGAGAAAGAACATCACCATCACTAGTGCTCACTCCAAACCCCATGATGTTGAATAAATAGATAATCTACCTCTTTCCGAATCCTCCGTACTCTCCTCAGATTTACACTCAAACATTCTGAAATGTTCGTATTGGAGCTTTTGACGGGAATACCAAGCAGTACAAGGTGCAGTTTACAAATTTCTAGCGGAGTGATTTGCGCCATGGTACTCTTTTTTCTCTCGGACGTGTCCAACTGACCCTAGTATATTGTGCAGTCGACAAAATCAAAAACAAACAACGCCCATGCGCGAATTTACAAATATAAAATGGCGACAATTTAACCCTCGCGTCCTATAGTTATAGTCTAATTTTTACACTGACTGATGTGTCCACTTACAAATCTTTGGCTGGACGTTATTCGGAGTGAAGAATTCTAGGTAATAATTTTCTTTATTTTTATCAGAAAATAAACGCCATGTTCTGAGCAGGCAGACAAGTACAGGCCCCGGTTGGATATTCTTGTGGGTGCAGTGGGTGTAAATATAGTTGTTCAGCGAAAAGTTGTTTCAGAGCTAAGGTGAAAACTTGTAACTCGGTGACGTGCTACCGTCTGCCTCACACTGGGGGCATTTTGGGAGATAAGAATACGTGATGAGCTACAGCGGCAAATTGGCAAGAGATGCAGAAAGCTGGAATATTGGCGTCTAGAGAGAATCCACTAGGAGAGAGATAGAGGATAGAGGAGAGAGAAAGAGAGAGAGAGAGAGGGAGAGAGAGAGAGGACGGTGAAAGAGACAGTTTTTGATAAGACGAGAAAGAAAATTAAGACAGAGGTGAATGCCGTATGAGAAGAGCTTCTTATTAGGGAAGCAAGCTCGAAAGAATGGTAGATGGAGAAATGAAGAAAAGAAGAGAGAAAGAGAGAAAGAGAGAAAGGTTTCTGAGAATGCAAACAAAAGGAAGACAGAAAGAGTTGTTTGTGATAATGCAAGTTATTGAGAGAAAGAGAGAATTGATGGCGATCTTGAAGTAGAAAGAAAGAAAGAAAGAAAGAAAGAAAGAAAGAAAGAAAGAAAGAAAGAAAGAAAGAATGAATGAATGAATTGATTTGGGCCATGCAGACCAAAGAAAGAAAGAAAGAAAGAAAAATACTACCGGGGACCATGCAGACCAAAGAAAGAAAGAAAGAAAGAAAGAATGAATGAATGAATTGATTTGGGCCATGCAGACCAAAGAAAGAAAGAAAGAAAGAAAGAAAGAAAGAAAGAAAGAAAGAAAGAAAGAATGAATGAATGAATTGATTTGGGCCATGCAGACCAAAGAAAGAAAGAAAGAAAGAAAGAAAGAAAGAAAGAAAGAAAGAAAGAATTGATTTGGGCCATGCAGACCAAAGAAAGAAAGAAAGAAAGAAAGAAAGAAAGAAAGAAAGAAAGAAAGAAAAAAAGAAAGAATTGATTTAGGCCATGCAGATTAAAGAAAGAAAGAAAGAAAGAAAGAAAGAAAGAAAGAAAGAAAGAAAAAATGAATGAATTGATTTGGGCCATGCAGACCAAAGAAAGAAAGAAAGAAAGAAAGAATGAATGAATTGATTTGGGCCATGTAGACTAAAGAAAGAAAGAAAGAAAGAAAGAAAGAAAGAAAGAAAGAAAGAATTGATTTAGGCCATGCAGATTAAAGAAAGAAAGAAAGAAAGAATTGACTTCGATCATGCATATCAAATGAATAAAAAAAACAGAAAAGAAAATAAAATAAAAGAAAGAATAGTGCATTAATTGAGATCATGTAGAGAAAAGAATGAAAGTGAGAGATAATTGAGATCATGCAGACCAAAGATAGAAAGAAAGGAAGAAATAAAGAGAAAAAGGAATAAAGAAAAAATAAAGAACGAAGAAATAAATTAATAATGAAAGAAACTCAGGCTTTTGATAATGCAGACCAAAGAAAGAAATAAGGAAAGAGTTTCTGGGATTATGGAGACCAAAATAATAAAGAAAGCGGTAAAAAATAAGACAAAGAAAAATCCCCCCACCCAATACAATAATAATAATAATAATGATAATAATAATAATAATAATAACAAATGAATGAAAACTAAAAAAAGAACGTCTAATAGATAACTATGGATGTGTATGAAAAAAGGTATAAAAAAAAGGGAAACGAAGGAAGAATATTAGAAAAAATAATAAAAAAAAAATACGATCAAGAAAAAGTGAGAAAGAAGAAGAATGTATGGCAGGCAGAAAGGGAAATAAAAAAAAAAGGAAATGAATATATCTGGAAAAAAAGAGCGAAATTGAAAAAATGAATTAATAAATTAAGAATAAACAAAAACAAAATATAGAATAGAAAAGAAGAACTCTTTAAAAAAAAGGTAGAAAAGAAAGACAATAATATGGTAGATTAGAGGGATAAAAATGGAATAAGAAAAAAAAAACAAAACAAAACCAATAAATCAGAACAAAATGAAATCAGAACAAAAAAAATATATGAATAAAAAAGAAAAATTAAAATTTCGAAAGGTAAAAAAATATCGAATCATAATAAAATCACGAAAATATTTATTTTAATCGGAATCACACCAAGCAAGGGAACAGAGCCACTAAGACAAAAAGAATTACTAGACGTGAACTATTATATATATTGATGCCCGAAAAGTGATCACCTAGACAGTTGATAACGATTTACATTGCATTTAAAATTTTGAAGCTCAAAGTTTGCTAGAAAGCATGGAGTCAGAAGAGTCTTGCACAAGCAAGAAATGCGATAGAAGAATCTCTAAACATAGAACGGGCGGTTACATCTAGCCATCTTCACTGTAAAAAGAAGAGAACTTACCATCAATCTGGTTTAAGTCTAGGTACCATATCGAAGAGCGATATTTATTTCCGCTTCAATACAGAAAATGTGGGAAAAGGCTAAAAATGAAGAATGGGGGAAAAGGACGGTCTTGTTCTGTCTTAAATTTAAACTTAGCTGGCCACAAATTCTGACCCAAACATACCACCATATTCCTAACGAATTTTTACTTACCTTTCTTTCTACATTCACCATAATACCTCATTGTCTCTATGAAAATCCTAACTAGTCCCCATATATGCTGTGGGGTTGGAATGGAATAAAAAATTAAAAAGTAGCCCAATGAATATTTATAATATAAGTACAAATCTATTTAGAAAAATCTAAACAAAATAATGTTAGAGTCTGTCTATATTTCTTAGATGAGGTATTATGTACAGTATTTACATTAGTCGGACTATTGTCCTCATCTTTGTCACAACGTTTCGGCTGTTGTAGGCTCCGTCCTTCTTCAGGTGGTTGGAATTTCGAACTGAACCCTTTATTTCGATCATGGCACATGGCACTGTGGATAAAGGCGTTGGTTAGATCCAGTGACAGACCCAAAGAAGGTGAGTTCAATACCTGGTTAAGGCAGTGGAGAACTTTCAGAGGGAAAATTAACAGGAGATAACTGATAACTGACATCCATCAAACATGGCACGTGAAACTAGAACAGTCTACCCCAGTGATCGAAATAAAGAATTTATCAAGAATATCTAAATGTGCAACAGAAGCAGTGGATCATATGTGGTAGCAATATTCTAAGCATGGACAAATAGTAGACTTATAGGGATGTCGATCATAATCCCAAAACTTAAATTCCCGAATGTCAAAAAGTCCTGAAATCTAAAATCACGAGATTTGAAATTCCCAGATTATTAAAAACTATAAAACCAGAAGATGGCATAGACGATGGGAAAAAATTTAGTAGTCAATCTTCATGGCGGTGTTTATTGCATTATTGGAGAGTTTCAAAAATAAGTAGCAGCACGTAGAAAAAGAAAATGAACACATTCTCTGAGGAAAGACTTGTCCAAAAAGAAAAAAAAAATAATGAGTGTTTTATCGTGATGAAAGTCTTACAAATATAGTTAACGCTCGTGAAAACCGACCGGATATTATGGACTATCTTAGGGCTCTTGTTCATAAGCTTTAATTATTCATATATTCTGGTTTTATATTTTTTTTAATGAATTTTGAATATTTCAAATGCATAACAAATATTTTGTAAATATTTAGAAATAAAGTTATTTGCTAAATAAATATTTTTTTCAATTTTTCTTAAATATTATTTTTCAGGATTCTGATCAGTCAGGATTTTAAATTTTGGGATTCTGATCTTTCGGGATTTTGATTCAAATTTTGGAATTTTTAATTCCAGGGATTTCGGTATTCGGGATTTTAAGATTCGGAATTATAAGCCAAATCAGACTTATAGATATATAGATAAGTTCCGGAGAGAAAAAATGTCTGGAACGACACAATGAACCAACTTTCTTAGCAGCAGACCTAGCAATGAATTAAATATAGTTTTTCCTCTTCATGTCAGTCGAGAATGTTTTCCCGAGATGCAATGCGACACTCTCTTGGATATAAGTATTAGCTATGCTGATGGAAGGAAGAAAGGAGTCTGTCAGATGATTAAAATAAATATAAACCTCAGACACCTACTTTTTGATTGTCACAGCGCTATTAGTAGGATACATAACGAGGAAAGATAGCTTGGAAAATTCGATACTCACAAGACCGATTGAAGGTGAAGTGGACAGAGGACAACAAAGGCGAGCTTAAGTGAATAGGCGGTGGAACGTGGATTGAGAGAAACCGCAAAAAATACATTTATTAAGAACTAAAATCACAGAAAATTGTGGAGGGCCATGATCGCCAAATTCTTGAAGGGAAGTCAATAATGATCGAACTCACTGTATTTGTTGATGTGAAATTAGGTTGGAAAACATTAGATTTCTTAACGCTTTCGTTAAGGGCGCCGAGATCACGATGTGAGCGAAGAAACAAAGATGGCCAGAAAAGCAAATGTAAAAGAAAATATTAAATCTAAGAAAGGAAGAAAGACTGAACAGAAAACAAGAAATAATGAAAGAAATTCTTTCTTTACTTATTTCTTGCTTTCATCATTTCTTGCTTTTCGGAAAGAAAGAAAGAAAGAAAGAAAGAAAGAAAGAAAGAAAGAAAGAAAGAAAGAAAGAAAGGAAGAAAGAAAAAAGTAAAAAAGAAAGTTTAAAAGAAGAAGAGAAAAATAATACATACACTCGAAAAAAAGAAAGAAAGAAACAAACAAACAAAGGAAGAAAGAAAGAATAAATCAGTGTTTTATTCAAGAAGGTAGTTCTGACGAAAATAAATGGCTGCCAAGTGGAGCCTGTACGTGTCGTCTGCCGTCCCGCAATTTTTCCGCTTCCCAAATGGCGTAGAAACTGTATTCCACGGCACTCATATATCGTTGTATAAATATTTGTCTATTTGCGCTCAAGGAAGACAAACATTACAACTGATAATAAAAAAGAACGAAACATATGTATTTGTTTAGGTTTGGGGCAGAGGTGTGGAGTCGAAGGATCCATACAAAAGGGAATACGATTGGCTGGGGAAGGAAAGAAATATACGAGAAAAAGCGATTTAATGAGAGTGGATGGAAGGTGCGTTAAGAAAATAGAAAATAAAAATGAAAAACGAGGTAAGGTAGAAAGAAAGAAAGAAAGAAAGAAAGAAAGAAAGAAAGAAAGAAAGAAAGTTTAAGAGGAGAAGAGAAAAATAATACACAAAATCGAAAAAAAAGAGAAAAGTGGAAAATAAAACACATGATAAGACGGTTGAAAAAAGTGACGGAAATAAAACGATGAAGACAGAGAAAATATTGCGAAAGAAAATATGAATGAGGAAAGAAAGAAAGACTTGAATAGGATCATGTAGAAAAGAAAGAAAGAAAGAAAGAAAGAAAGAAAGAAAGAGTTGTTTTGGATCATCACGAAAAAAATGAAAGAATTTATGTGTAACATGCAGTCCAAAGAAAGAAAGAAAGAAAGAAAGAAAGAAAGAATTGTTTTGGTTCATGGCGAAAAAAGAAAGAAAGAACTGATTTGCATCATGACGACAGAAAGAAAGAAAGAAAGAATTTTTAGTGATCATGCAGATCAAAGAAAGAAAGAAAAAAAGAAAAAAAGAACGAAGAAAAGAAAGAATAAATGAGAGAAATATAGAATGAAAGAAAGAAAGTGTTGATTGGAATCATACTGACTAACGAAAGTATGTAAGTTTAAAAAGAGAAGAGTAAATTCAAACGTACAATCGAAAA